TGTGCGCGTTCGTGAGCTTGACTGTCCATGTAGGTTTCTGACATATCTGTAAGCATGGACGAGTGGTGATTGGCCTCGCCATTTCTGTTTCGTTCGTTCGTTATCTCCTACAGATTTGAAGGATGGAGATAACAAGGCAGACCTCTTCACCGTTAGTTGGCTGTTAGATTAGTCAATCCTATCTAGTCTTGAAAAAGAACCTCCAAATTTTATCACAGAAGGGGATGGTCAGGTGGTTTCTGGCCCAGAAGCCCTGGGCAAATCTGTACGGTTGTGGTTGAGTGTACGGTTGTGGTTGAGAAGGATGACGCCAGATTGCGATCAATGACAAGGGTTCCATAGAACCAATTGAAGGCTGAAGCTCTGTTGAGGGCTCTACAGTCACCCCCCCAGTCGGCGAAGATCATGGTTCTAACATTATCTAGAACTACATGTTTTGATGGCATGTCCGAATAGAAGGAGCCTCTAAAAAGATGGTCATTTCTTTTTCTTTTCTTTTTTTCCCCTTTTTTTCCGCAAAAAGAGCCCTTGTGTAAGCCCTGTGGTAAGAGAACAGTCAGAATTGAGGGTTTATCTGCCAGGCTGCTCCATCTATTGGTGGGGAGCGGCACCTGCTGGAAACCGGGTCCAGCCTCCCATCAATACATCTTGCAACACAGAGAATTCCAATCATTGTTCCCAGGACTGTGGTCTTTTCACTGGTCAGTCCGGGTCTCCGTTGTCCCACAGAGCTGCCAGTATCACCCATCCCATCTTGGAGCGCCCCTTGTCTATTTTCTTAGTGCTATTCAGCAGCCCCCTTGTTCATTATTGCAACGTCTGTGCCTAAAATGAAATCAGACTGCACTCCAAACTTGCTTCCAACATGCATACACACGAACTGATGGCAAAACCGAACTCTTTCAACTCAGGATCAACAACAAACTTGCACTTAAACTCTGTTCAAGTCAACTGTACAACTTGCGGCTATGGCCGCCGAACACTGTCTCCGCCACCAGCCTCACTCTCCCTAATGCACCTATGTACGAGGATTGCCCTGAATGTCCACGCTACACAGACACACACACTCCGTACACTCTGTCTGCACCAACAGCTGGGCGGCTATGGCCGCCGTCGTCTTCCTCCCTCCAGCTATGGCCGCCGCTGTCTTCCTCCTGGCCAGCTATGGCCGCCGTCTTCCTCACTGCCCACTTCAGCTCCGGGCACCTGCAGACCTCCACGCACAAGTTACCAAGGCAGCACTTCCGCATGGCTCACAGGCGAATGAATGAATGGCTGGACGCTGCCCCTTTATTTATGCTTCAGCGGAGGTGGTGGGGCTCTGCCTCAAAACGCATGGGCCTGGGCCAAAACGCGTGAGCCCTGGGTCCGGAAACTTCCCAAGCCGCGTGTGGCCCGGGCCTGGAAGCTTCCAGGCCACGAAAGCCTGGCAGTCCCAATGCGTAGGCCTTCTGGGCCAAAACGCATGGGCTGCTGAGCCCCAAAACGTGTTTTTCTGGAGTCTTCTCCAGAACGCGTGGACCTCCCTGTTCCCCACGTGCAGCCCTTCCTTTGGTACTTGCTGACTGGACTGGACTACAGGGACCTACGGACTTCTAGAACACACAGACCAACAGACAGACTCTAGGCCCACAGTAGACTTAGGTAGAGACTTCTAGAACAGACCCTTTCTAATCTAATGGTAACAGACTTAAGTACTAACCTACAGACCTAGGGATCAATTCCAACTTCCCTACCTACAGACTAACCTACGACACAGGATAGGTTGAGGATTCGAATCTCACACAGCCACTGGGTAGATGTACAGGGCACAGGCACAGGTCTAGGGAGCGAATCTCACTCAGCACACAGGGTTATTGTACAGGGCTCGGGCACATGTCTACGGATCAAATCTCTGTGTCTGCAAATGTCGGGCTAACTGGGTGAAACCGTTTCAAAAAACCCTTTAAACCTTATACCCTCTCAAAACCCATGAATGCCACATTATTGATCCTTAAAGCCCGCGGCAACAGAGAGCAGTACAATGAGACAAGGCTATTGCAGCACATCTGAATCTGTCTTATGTGTCACTGGGTGAGTGAGAACCCTTGTACCGTAGACCGGTTGGTCTCCTTATCTCTTGTCAGAGCTGCGTACGTAGTCCAAGGGCCCTGCTCCCCCGGGTGCCTCGGTCTTCACAGTTCCAACTGCAGAGCCTGTGGCAGCGAGATGTGAGTTGTCGCTCCAGTCTTGGTGTCATCGCTGTTGTTGTTGCCTGTTATTGCCAGTCAGTCCACCATTCGCATTTCTGTCGTCTTGTCAGTTGTGGGCATTGCAAGCCACACAGCTGCAGGTCAAGCGGTCGGGAGGGCAAGGGCGGGAAAGGATGCCGCGGTGGGGCAACGGCGAGGAGGGGGAGGGGGGGGGGTCACAGTGTCCAGATTACTGCATAGATAGCTGACCTCACTGGCATGGCCACATAGCCCTAACCCTTGGTTGGGGAGGTCTGTGGTGGAAAGGACCAAAATTTTCTGACCAGCAAACTGATTCTGGTGCAAACTTTCAACAGTGAGATTCCTACCATTCCTAGATTCTGCTGGACTTGATGCCTTGCTACCAGAGATGACCACTGGTCTCTGCTTGTGTTCTGCATCTAGAACGGATTTTTAGATAGGGAGGTTCCTTCCATGTAGCCAGCAGGCTGTAGGAACAGCCCTGTGTGACTGGAGCCAGACTGTGCTGCAAACTTCACTGAAGGAAGTTGGGGGAGGATGCTCCAAAGTCTGCAGATGTCTGCTGCACTGATGTCATAATTGGGAGTGGTTCTCGATGGACGCTCTGCTAGCCAACGGCTTTTGACTTCTGATGTGAAGTTCATAGCCCTGAGTCTCGGGCCTGTGCGGACGATATCAGACCTGCAATGATGTCCCTCTGAAAGGAGGTAACCCGGTTGCTTGGGAGGCCGGGTGGCCAGGAAGTCACCACACAAGAGGCAAGTTGCCTCGCTATATCAGGGAGACCGAACGTTAGGCTTGGCCTCATTTGTGGTGTGCATGTTTGTGCGTCATGCTGCTTGAGCGGGCACTGGTTCTCAGAGCGCCGCTGGGAGGAGGAAGGAGGAGCTGGGCACTCAGCTTGGCTATGGCGAGCTGCCCAGTCTGAGGAGGAGGAAGAAGAGGGAGAACGTGGAGAGTGGCAATGTCTTTACCTGGCCCTGAGGTCAGCATCTTCATCTTCTTGGTTGGCGCTGCTGCTGGAAGGCCGTAGTTAGGGTGCTCTGCTACAAGAAGGCTTCAGGGCAGAGTCAGGCATGGCGGCCTGAGGTGTAGCAGACATAGCTACTGTTGCATTGTCTTTTGAACATCAGGGGTTGGTCCCTGATGTCCGCCATAGCCAGTACCTGTCGAAGGTGGAGGAAGATGGAGGTCATGGCTATGGTGGACCTCATATTGTGCTAGCAGTAGGAGAGCAATTCGGACATTGGTTCTGGTTCAGTCATTCATTGTTATTATTATTATTATTGTTGAATAAGAGAGGGGGGGATAAGGAGGAGGAGATTGGTTGGCGGAGAGAAAGGGGATTGGTCATTGGTCTTCTGCTGGTCTTCTTCTTCTTCTTCTTCTTCTTCTTCTTCTTCTTCTTCTTCCTTTGCCTCTCTCCCCTCTCAAGTTCATTGAACTTCATCCATTTGGCATCGTATTTCCTTGTGTATTTGCACTTCGGAATCGTCCAGGATGTTAACATGAGTCTGTTTTAGTCTACAGGTCTATTCGAGTCTCTCCGACTCTGTTTTCAACCTAAAACAGTCTGTTTTGAACTTCTTTTAGTCTGTATTGAGCCTGTTTTAGTCTGTATTGAGCCTGTTTTAGTCTGCTCTGAGTTTGTTTGGAAATTGGAACTGGTTTGGGGGAAACCTGAAAGCATTTTATAAATGAACACCAGTCTGGATTCGAACAGAGCCAAGTGAGCGCAGAGGTGCCCCACTGAAAGGAAAAGACAAAAAACAAAGAAAGGGCTGATGTTTGCCTGCACGGGATGCCCCGTGCAGGTGACTCCCGGGTGACTTGCCCGGGGTGCACGGCCGGGCGGCCCAAGTAGCCTAGCCCCAAAACCTAATTTCAGTTTTGGACCCTTTGACCAGGAACTGAAAGTGGGGTTCCCCCAACCAATTGTGGGGCTTCTGGGTTCTGATCTGCTGTGCTGTGCAGCCTCTATTGAACTCAATTATTCATGGTAAGAAGTGACTATCAGCATTGATCTATCTGCCAGATGGCTGGATGATGGCACATACATGTAA